AAATCCGCGCGGAGCGCCGAAAGTTTGTGTTTGTGTCGTTATGTTCTTCTTCGATGGTGGGTCCTCGAGAGGACGTCCTCCCACTGATCGGCGGCGGGCGTGCGGTCGCACCACGCCGCCGAGCTGGGGTGCGAGCAGGCGCTGGCCTCACCTCGCGTGCGCGGCGTGGACGGCGCGGTGGACGGCGGCGACGGGCCCGGCGGGGGCGGGAGGCCGGGAGCGGGCGGGGCCGCCTTTGGGGGGGCAACTCCTCCACCACCACCACCACCGCACGCAGGACGGAGGAGAAGGGACGATGAGGAGGTGCTCCTCCTCCTCCTCCTCCTCCTCCTCCTCCTCCTCCTCCTCCTCCTCCTCCTCCTCATCCTCCCTATGGTGGTGGTGGTGGCGGTGGTGGTGGTGGGCAATCGGCCCATCAGCCTTCATCCGGTGGTGGTGGTGGGCAATCGGCCCATCAGCCTTCATCCGGGCGAGGATCTCCTTCAGCGAGGCCTGGGCCGAGTGCTGCGGCGGGCTCGGCGGGGCCCCGGCGCGGCCCAGCGGCGCCGCGCGGGGCGCCTGCGCCAGCGGCCCGAAGTGGCCCGGCGGCGGCGCGAGAGCGGGCCGCGCGGGCCCCTCGGGGCAGGCCCGCGCGGGCGCGGGGCTCGGCAGGCCCGCGGCACTGGGCGAGCGGGTGCAGAGGCCAAGCAGCAGGCTCTGGCTGCGGGCCTGCGGCGCGGGCCTCCTCCTCGCTCCTCCTCGCTCCTCCTCCTCCTCCTCCTCCTCCTCCTCCTCCTCCTCCTCCTCCTCGCTCCTCGCTCCTCGCTCCTCCTCCTCCTCCTCCTCCTCGCTCCTCGCTCCTCGCTCCTCGCTCCGCCTCCTCCTCCTCCTCCTGCTGCCTGCGCAGCGGAGGCTGGGCGGCTCTGGCTCGCCTTGGCGCGCCGGTCGATCCAGCTCCGGGCGCCGGCGGAGGCCGCGGACGCCTTGCCGTACGCCTTGCCGTACGCCTCGATGATCGCGTCGCAGGCCAGGACCTGGCTGTCGGCGGTGGTCCGGTCGGGCGCATCGAAAGCGCGGGTGAGGGCGCAGAAGGTCTGGCTGTCTGGATGGCTCCCGGCGCCGAGCATCCTCCACAACCAGTGCCTCACTCGCATCAGGTCCCCGGTCTTCGAGGAGACGCTGATCATGCTGTTGAACGTGATGCTGTTCGGCTGGATCACGCGGGATTCCAGCTTTTGGAACCACGCCTCGGCTGCCTTCGAGTCGCCCTTGTGCACGCACGCGTTCAGCATCGTGTTGAAGCACACGAGATTTGGAACAAGGCCGTACCACTCCATTTCATCGAACAGCTGCACAGCCCTAGCCAGGTCACCGACCTTGGCGCTGGCGTGGATGACAGCTGCGTAGCCGAAAGTATCAACTTTGCAGCCAGCCTTCTGCATCTGGACAAACCAGTACTCGGCCCGCTCCACGAGGCCTTGCTTGGCACACGCGTTAATGATGATGTTGTAGGTCTTCTCGTCGGGACTCAGGTTCGCCTCGCGCATCTGATTGAGCCAATACTCTGCGCTGTTTGCATCTGGCACTTTCGCGCAAGCGTTGATGAGAGCGTTGAATGTCACTGCGTCTGGACGCACGCCGTACTTCAGCATCTCCTCAAACCACGCCTCCGCCCTGCACATCTCGCCTGCTTTCGCATACGCGTCGATGATGGTGCTGAAGGACATGATGCCGGGCTCGACGCCATCGTCGGCCATCCTCTTGAACCACGCCTCCGCGCCGGCGATGTCGCGGCCTCGTGCGCACGCATTGATGATTGTGTTATACGTGATAGAGTTCGGCTGCACGCCGTCCTGCAGCATCTGGTCGAACCAGACTGCGGCCCGCCCAGGGTCCGCCGCCTTGGCACACGCGTCGATGACGGAGTTGAAGGTGACGGCGTTGGGCTGCAGACCCGCCTGCGACATGCGCTTGAACACCCAGCACGCGCCGTCCGGGCTGCCCGCACGGGCACAGCTACTGATGAGAGAGTGGTAGAACACCTTGTTGGTTGAGCACTTCGTCCCCTGCTGCGAGAGCGAGTCGAGCATGGCCTCGGCGGACCGTGTGTCGCCCGCCGCGAGTCGGTCCGCCACCGCCTTGGTGAAGTTGGACTTGTCGGAAGCGCCCATTCCTTCCAGGCTGGCCAGGACGCGTCGCTGGGACAGTAAAAGCTACCTCTCGATGGTCAAATGGCCGTAAAACTAAACGGCTTGAGCCGAAATGGCCACGGATGCAAAAACACCGTTCCTGGTGTCCTGACAATCCTAAGTCGCACCCGAACACCATGCCTGGGACTCCGACCATACGAACCCTTGAAACTGTTGAATAATTGTACGACGAATGCGCGTGGCGCTACGGCGAGCCACCCGCCCTGCATTCGTGACATCGTTGAACACTTTGGACACAAATGCGCGCGCCGCTAAAACGAAAACCACATTTTGAAAACCACCGGCCCTCCATCCGTGAAAATGTTGCGAACTTTGAGAACGAATGTGCGCGGCGCTGTGGCGAGAGCAACATTTTGAAAACCACCTGCCCTCCATCCGAACAGCGGCTGCAAACTATTAAAACGAACGCGCACGGTGCCGAGGCAAACATAACATTTTGAACACCACCCGCCCTCCATCCTTTGAAACTGCTGCAAGCTTTTGTGGCAAAAGTGCGCGACACTGAGACGATTACCTCATTTCGGAAAACACCCGCCCTCCATCCTTGAAGCTGTTGCAGACATTGGAACCGAATGTGCGCAGCGCTAAGCGCTAAAACGACAACTTCAATTTGAAAAAAAACATGCAGTTGCGAAGCTGTTACGCATCTCAAACTTCAAGGTCACGAGCGGTGAGGACGTCTCAGGCGAAACGCCCAGCCCGCCCTACCGACACGCCTTCGGGTGCGACAAGGAGGAGCTATTTTTCTGAACCAGCGTGGACCCCAAGTTGTGTGTTTCTGGTAACCGATGTTGTGCAATCTATGTGGTGCGATCTATGTGGCGCAACCTTTGTGGTCCAAGCTATGTTTTGCAATACATGTATATCTATATATGCACACATATATACCCAAACCAACACTAGAGTCACGCGCGCGCTATGCTCGCGCTTAGGTTCTAGTCGCAGATGAACCACGTGTGCCACTGTAAGCCCCGCACAGCGACGATTTCCAGCGTCCTCGGGCCCATGCCATCGACGCAAAGAAACGCGTAGTTACAACGCGGGGCACAACGCTCCCGCGCATCTCACAATCTCGCTGCCGCCTTTGTTTGGTTTATCGAACTGCGAGCTCTTTTTTCTCCACTTTCACCTCCGCTCTGCCCCGTCGTGATACTCAATGTTTTTGCGCATCTGTTCTGTCTCCCCATGCCCGATCACGTAGACATCCGCCGGCTCCTCATGTTGGGGTTGGCTCGGGGTCTCGTTGCGCGCGCGTGGGAGCGCGTTGCTTTTGTTCCTCTTCCTTGTGCTCCAGGCTGCTCGTTGTCAGCGGTCGTTCAGCTGTCGGGTATCTGCAGAGGGCGCGCGCAGATGTCCCGGTCATCAGTGCCCTTCTCTGCAATCAGTTGTTGTCGAGTCCGTCCCCAGGAGTGGGGAAGCTTTTGTGCTGGGCGCCAAACCTCATGCCGGCGATAATCGCACCCGTGGGAGCACAAGTTTCGGGCTCACGGGGGATGCTCAATGATTTGCCTGGCAAGTCCCATGTATGGTGCTGCCTGGAGCTCTGACGGGGCCTCTGGCGGTACCTTCTTGGCGCTCTGGCAAAGCCTTTTCAAGAGGTGAAGGGCACGAAAGCTGAGAAATTGTAGCGGGTCCGCCCAGCAAGGGTGGGAGGAGCAAGAATCGCGTGAAAGAGTATGGTGTAGGGATGCCCTGCTGTCTTTGGCGGGGGTTTCCCTGGCGCTCTGGCGGAGCTCGTCCAGGAGGGGAGGGAAGAGCACGAAACCTGTGGAAGACGATGGTACAGTCACACCCCGTGCGCTCTGACGGGGCTACCTCGGGTGCGGTGGGAGGAGCAAAACAGAGCAGGGACTGCATATGGTATAGCAACACCCCTCTCGCTCTGCCAGGGCCGCCCTTGAGGGATGGGAGGGGCAAAGCAACTTGTGAAATGATAGGGTATAGCGATGCCCCGCTCGCTCTGGCGGGGCCTGTCTGGCCCTCTGGCGGGGCCGTCCCAGGAGAGGAGGGAGGAGCGCGAAAACTGAGGGGTGAGGAGAGGAAGAGGAGAGAGGAGGGAATGGAGGCAAGGGGAGGGGGCGGGAATAAAAGGCGGGACGGAGGGGAGAGGCCCGGGCCATCTGGGCCGTCTTGGAGCGCCTTGGGGCCTCCCGCTCCCGCTCTGTGGCCCAGCTTGGGCCTGTCCTGGGGCTCTCTTGGGTCTGGGGCTCCTCCTGGGCAATTTTCGGGCTCCCTGTGGCCGTCTTGGGGCTCTTTTAGGTGCCTCTTCGGAGGTCTTGGGGCGGTCTTGGGGGCGTCTTCTGTCGTCTTCGAGCATTGGAAGCTCGAGAGCGCGAGAAAGCGAAACACATCAAATAAACCAATGCAAATCAATGATGTGGGCCTCTTTGGGCTCTCGGGGCGTCTCTCGGAGCTCTCTTGGGCCCTCTTGGAGGCCACTTGGGCTATGTGTTTTCCGTCTTGAGCTGCTCTTGGGCCAAGTCGGGATCATCTGGGCCGTCCCGGAGCTCCTTGGGGCCTCCCGCTCCCGCTCTGGGGCCCTTCTTGTGTCTCTCCAAGATTATCGTGGGCAATCTTGGGCTGCTTGTGGGCAGTCTTCAAGCTCTCCTGGGCCGTCTTGGGGCTCTTTTTGGTGCCTCTTCGGCGGGCTTGGGGGCGATCTTCGGGGCGGCTTCGGCCGTCTTGGAGCGTTGGAAGCTCGACAGCGCGAGAAAGCCAAAAACATAGGAAAAAAAACGACCGGAAATCAAGGATCTGGGCCTCTTCGGGCTCTCTCGAGACGCCACTCGGAGCTCTCTTGGGCCTTCTTCTCCCTGCGCCCCCCTCCTTAAGCGCGCCTGAGCAGCACCGAGCACAACCGCAGTCGAATCCCCTTCCTTTGGATCCCTCCCCTGCCCGGGGGGGGATCCCCTTTACCCCCTGGGGGTAAGTAAAGGGGGGGGGGGGTCGCCTGGGGGGTGGTCCCGGAGAGTGGTCCTAAGCAAGAAGGTCAGAACCCCAGACATGCGACGTCCTGTTTTTTTCAGGACGGCGTCCCCTGAAGTCCCGACCCTTTCCCTGGGGCCGGTCTGTCGTCCTGAGTCGTGATTTGACGGTCCCGAGGCCCGGCGAGGGCCCCCAGGGGCTGAAAAGAGCGAAAAATGTGCCGTCCTGATTTTTTTACGACGCGATCATGTCTGGGACACCACCCTCTTTGGAGGCCCAAAAAGCCCCCCAGAGGCTCCGACGAGGCCCCAGGCGCCCCCAAGGAACCGCCAGGAAGCCTCAGGAGGCCCCCACACCACAGGGCTGCCAAGACACCCCAAAACTTCCCCCCCAGAGGCTCCCGAGAGCGCTCTCAAGAGACTTCAAGAAGCATCCAGGCCCTCCTCCTTACGCTCGCCAGCCAAAGCAAAATAGCCAAAGCGAGATTGAGCAACGTCTCAATTGAATCGAAGGGGAGCCCCTTCCTTTTGATCCCTTTCCCGCTGGGGGGGGGGGGGCGTCCCGGGAGCGAGCGGCAAGGCTGGGGGGGGTCCCGGGGGCGTCCCGAGTCAGAATGTTACCCCACCGCCCCCAGGGCGTCTCGGGACCCAATAGGCCTAGAGGCCCCCAATGAACCGCCTGGAAGCCGCAGGAGGCTTCCAAAAGGCTGCCCAAGACACCTCCAAAATCTAGTTGGGATTCCTGGGCACCTCTTGGGGACCTCGTGCCTGTAGGACACTCTTTGGAGTGTCTGATCCCGACCTTCCCGAATGTCTTTTTCATCTTGGGGGTCGTCGTCCAAGGTCGGCGGCACCGACCGTAAGGCCTTAGCAATAAGGAAAAGGACTGGAGAAAGAGGAGGAAGAGGAGAGGTAGGGGGGGGAAGAGGAAGAGGAGAGGAGAAGGAGGAGGAGGGGAGGAGGAGGAGGAGGAGGAGGAGGGGAGGAGGAGGAGGAGGAGGAGGACCAGTGTAAACCCAAGAGTCATCAACGATGTTGGAGTAAACCCTACCTCCAAGCTCCCTCTTCATAGGCCCCTACAGCGGTTCATTTCCATTGATGGAATTGCATCGTTGGAAGACATCCGTTTGAAGACCCTGCAGCATGCCAGAACATTGTTCTCGGGATTCCAACGCCACGGATCAACCTGACTGTTGCGTCTTGACGATCCTGAATCGCACCAGGACGCCATTCATAGGACTTCAACACAGAGAATCAACGTAACTGTTGCACCCGCATAATCCCAAATGCTTCCAAAACACCATTTCTGGTACGTCGGTGATGGGATTCCGCCAAACTCTTGCAACTGTTTGAAAACGAATGCGCGCGGCGCTCAGGCGAGAGCTACGTGTTGAAAACGACCCGCCCTCAATCCGTGAAGCTCATGCAAATTCTTGAAACGAGTGTGCGCCGCGCTAAGGCGAGAGCTGCATTTTGAAAACGGCCCGCCCTCAATCCGCGAAGCCCTGGCAATGTTTGAAACGAATGTGCGCCGCGCTGGAGCGAGAGCCGCATTTTGAAAACGGCCCGCCCTCAATCCGCGAAACTCTTGCAAACTCTCTAAACGAATGTGCGCCGCGCTAGGGCGATAACCACATTTTGAAATCGACGCGCCCTCAATCCGTGAAGCTCTTCAACTTCTAAACCGATTGTGCGCCGCGCCACATTTTGAAAACGACCCACCCGCAATCCGTGAAGCTCTTGCAAATTTCTTACACGAATGTGCGCCGCGCTGGAGCGAAAGCCACATTTTGAAAACGACGCGCCCTCAATCCGTGAATCTCTTGCAAGTTGTCAAAATGAATGTGCGCCGCGCTAAGGCACATGTTGAAAACGACCCGTCCTCAATCCGTGAAACCCTTGCAAGTGTTTAGAACGAATGCGCGCCGCGCTAGAGCGAGAACCACATTTTGAAAACGACCCGCCCTCAATCCGCGAAACTCGTGCCAATTCTTAGCTTCAGAGTCATTAGTGGTGAGGAAGTTCTAGGCGAAATGCCCGGCCCGCCCGAAAAACTTGCCTCGGGGTGCGACAGGGAGAAGTTATTCAGAAGGAAAAATAATGGAGGAGGAGGAGGAGGAGGAGGAGGAGGAGGAGGAGGAGGCGCAGGAGGAGGAGGAGGAGGAGGCGGAAGAGGAGGAGGCGGAGGAGGATGCATCCCTTGCACTGGT